CTCCTCAGTTTGAGTTCTCAGTTATTTGTGTTATATCAGTTATGATGATTAACTGTTGAGTTGATATCTCTGGCCAGAGACTCCTTAGTTTCCTTTGTGTTTCTTTTGTTTGGTTGATTTATTATTGATCTAAATCCATATTTGTCAGTTTATTAATTCATTACAATTTGTTTCCTTATGTTATGGGATATTGTTTGTTTTCTTTTTTTCTTATCCTTGAGCCTTGACTGTGTCTCTCCTTTTTCCCCTACAGCTGAAGGCCGACGGTGGTGGTGGTGGTTTCCCTGGGTGGTGGTGATCCCCTGTGTGCTGTGTGACCCCTGTTCAAGATTTGCTTTATGTGCACTTCACGTTTTTGCTGTGTGTTTGGGTTGTTCTCCCTTTTCTTTTTGGACTTCACTCCCCCTTGTCACCCCCTCTTCCAGCCGGTAAGCCTCAGTCTGTATCCCCCTCCTTTAGTTGGGCTCTCTTCTCCTTTTTGGTTATTGTGCCAAACCCCGTTGTTTTAATTAATAAAATATTTTTTTTATGATCATTGAACTCCGTCTCCTGCCCTCCCCGAGTGAACAAACCTGAGTGTCTTTCTGGTGATAGTTCACCTCGAGCAGCTCGAGCAGCTTGAATGGTGAGCAGACTTTTTCATAGGGAGGCTCGAGTAGCTTGAATGGAGGGACTTGTATCCGTCCCCCCTTAATCGCCTCGGCTTCCCGTTCCCTTTCTGTGCCAGGGATGGGGCTCGCCTTCCTTTAGGGGGAGTGCCCTCTGCACTGGCGAGCTCTGCTGTCTCCGGGTCGCTTGGTTGCTCAGCGTCCCTTCCCCTCTTGCCATTAAGTTCCTTTGTGTATAATTCAAAGTCAGTGGCTTCTGTGTTCCCGTCATCTTCCGATGATCCGTCAGTACTGTCTGTCTCTGAGGGAGGTGCCGTTTCCAGTGGTAGCTTTTTCCGCGGCCCCTGTTGTTTCTTCTTCTTGGCCTCTTGCTTAGTATTCTTGGTCAAAGTCACTGTGAATCTTCCTTGCAATTGGCCCTCCATTTCCATGGCTTTTGAATCCCTTAGTGGATACTGTCCTATTATTGGCTGTGCTGGCTCCTGCGGGTAGGGGGGCGGTGGCTGTGTGGGTAGGGGTGGTGCTGTAGGCATCACTTCTTCCTGATCCTGGTGTTCTTTTTTCTTTTCCTCCAGCTGCACCATCTGTTTTCTTCCCCCCGCTTGTCTGAACCATCCTAACACTTCCCTCCCCTTAGCTCTCTTGTTCTTTTTCTTATAGCTAGCTTTGGTGTCTCTGGCTTCAATGTGTCTCAATTCTGACTCCACTTCATCACAGCATGCTAGATTGAAGGTACCTTCCATAGGCCAGCGATTTTTCCCTGATGTTCTTTTGTGCCATTTGCTCACACAGCGTTGGATGCGTTTCACTCGACTTGGGTGTTGCCGCATTACTACCTCCAATGGGGTTAAAACCCCTTTTTCCATCTTTCCCTGTTTGGCTCCCATGAAGCCTTGTTTGGCTTCACTTGTTCTTGGGATCTCTGGCTGTTCGTCTGTTTCTTTTGTGCGTATCAGTACTATGATCTTCCCTACTGTTATGGCAGTTTTATATTTCTTTTCTCTATATGGGTTGTACTCTAATTTGTGTGACCCGTCCCCTTGGGAGACCTGGGTAAGACACCCAAATTTCCCTGTCTCCCACTCAACTTTTCTGGGCACGACAACAATTTGCAGCCGTGGAGCGTATCCCACCCCGCCTGCTTGGCCTTGTATTCTTATCTGGTGCAGAGGAAGTGAAGCTACTGGTCCGTTCTTATAATTATCACACACGCTCTGTAATAATGGGTTTAGTGAGTAAGGAACCCACAGTCTGCGCAAAATCACTTCCCATGCACCTGGAAACTCTTCTTTTACTTTTTTCAAATTAGTGAATTTAGTGATTTGCCAGAGTTTTTGTTTAATCTCTTGCTCGCCCTGCCAATGCTCTGCCCCCTCGTTATCTACGTAGGTTCGCTCCAACCAAAAATGTGTGCATATCCCCCTGTATTCTACAGGACCCTCTGTACTGCAGTGTTCTTCTTCCCAAATCTCATCTCCACTGTCGTCTCCCTCTTCCATCTATTTTTAGGTGCTTTTTATTTAGTCTCTGATCTCACCTCTTTAAATTTTTAGTGGTTAGTTCTTTTCTACTGTCTCTATTTCTCTATTTCTATCAGTCTTTTTACATTCACATTTCATTCAACACGTAACACGGGGGGGGGGGGGGGGGGGGGGG